TCCAACAGTCTTTCTCCTCCTCTTTCTCATCCCCCTTCCCTTTTCACCCTATTCCTCCAATTCTCCCCCTCTACCCTCCCTCTCCTTCCCTGCTCCCTTCTCCTTTCCCCTCCATCCCCCCCCCTCTTACTTTCCTCTACCCTACTAATACTCCTCCCCCCTCTTCTCTTCCCCCCTCCACCTCCTTTCTCTTTCTCCCTCTTCCCCCTCCACCTCCTTCCTCTCCCCCCCTCCCCCACCCAGGACCCTAGCCACAGTTTCCGGGTGCAGGATCAAGCACTAAACAATGGTCCTTACAGCCGGGCCTGAAATTAAATAAAGCATTGAAGCAGTTCGTCTCAAGCTTTGTGAACGTCTGTCTGTACCTGTGTGGGAGGGTGGGTGAGTGTGTGTGTGTGTGTGTGTGTGTGTGTGTGTGTGTGTGTGTGTGTGTTGGCTGTGCTGCTGCTCTACCACTGCGCCAGGACTGTTGTGTAGCTCCGACGGCAGTGGAGACGGGTGTACACAGGTGGAGACAGGTGGAGACAGGTGTGTACAGGTGGAGATGGGTGTGCACAGGGTGAGACAGGTGGAGACAGGTGTACCTGGGGTGGAGGGCCAGGTGTACACGGGGTGGAGACAGGTGGAGACAGATTTATAAAACATTTAAGTAAGTTAGGGAAGAGGGAGGAAAGGAGCCAGGTGAAAGGAGGAGGGCGCGAGGGAAGAGGGGAGGGAGGAGGGAGAAAGGAGGGGAAGAAAAGAAAGAGGGAAAAGGGAAGAGAAAAAGTGGATGGGTGGGAGGGAGGGGCGAGAGTAATTAGGTAAGGCAGTAATTATCTGCGGTGGTTTTAGCAACGGAAGGTAATTTTAGTTTCGATGATAAATAATTACCTTATTATATTTACCCCCCCTCGAATAACTCACGCTTGGGGTGAGGGTGTCTCTCTCTCTCTCTCTCTCTCTCTCTCTCTCTCTCTCTCTCTCTCTCTCTCTCTCTCTCTCTCTCTCTCTCTCTCTCTCTCTCTCTCTCGTTTCCACGTTCGTCTCCTGTATGGATATTAAACACAGATACAGCGGCGTAGTTTTGTCTTTTTTCTCTCAGTTGCCGGAGCGAGTGTTCTACCGGCCACTCAGAATAAATGGTTCAGAAAGTTCTATATAAACTTTTACCCCAACCTTAAAAGGGTTCGAGTAGGGTTTTTTCTGGGGGTGAGGGAGGTGAGGAGGGTGAGAGAGAGAAATTGAGGAGGGAGGAGGAGGAGAGGATAGTTTCTGACTTTGTACTCTGTGGGGGTGGAGGGAAGGAAAGGTGATCTCTGCGGGAATGTAGGAGGAGAGGGTCTGTGCTGGTGGGAGGGAAAGGAGGAGGGAAGGAAGGAAGGAGAAGGGGTTCGCCAAGAAGTGTTCTAGTGGAGGAGGTCACGATATGTTTTGTGGAAAGAGGGTGTTAGGAGGGGGAGGGGGTGTTGGGAGGAGGGTGTTGGGAGGGGGAGGGGTGTTAGGAGGGAGGGGGTGTTAGGAGGAGGGGGAGTATTATTAGGAGGGAGGGGTGTTGGGAGGAGAGGGGTGTTAGGAGGGAGGGTGTTAGGAGGGTGTTAGGGGGAGGGTGTTGGGGGAGGGGGTGTTAGGAGGGAGGGTGTTAGGGGGGCAGGTGTAGAAAGGTATACAGTACAGTATGTAGAATACAATTGTTAGGTTTAAAATGGATAGGAGTTTAAGGTGGATTTTTTTAGGGGGGAGGGGGGACGATTGGGGTTTGAGGGTAGTTATTTAAGTATTAGGGAAAGTGAAAGGGGATTTTTTTTTTGGAGGAGGAGGAGGATATTTTAGCCTCCCACGCCTTGCCACGCCTCCCCACGCCACATACCTCTATATTCATTCTAACTCTCACATTCACACCACACCCTCCCACGCCACATACCTCTAACCCTCTCATCCCCACAGCCACACCAATCCCACCACATCCGCCCACACGCCACCATCATCTGTGACACCCAATGCCTGCCTTCAAAACCACGCCCGCACGCCCGTCCAACTTCCTACACCAAAGGAAAGTCGCTGACACAAATTCTAAAAGCAAATACAAGACAAACAAGAGCCATTACACTCCTTAGCCTGTTAACTCACTCCACACACACACACACACACACACACACACACACACACACACACACACACACACACACACACACACACACACACACACACACACACACACACACACACACACACACACACACACACACACACTCTCTCCACACACACACACCACTAGCATGTCTAACCTGTACAAATTTACAATTTACAAGTTGCAGGTGTAGAAATTTAACATTTACATCATCTACGAGAGAGAGAGAGAGAGAGAGACCTCCAACAATTTCCTCCCATTATCTTCTTCCACATGTCATCCCCTATTTCATCATTCCTCTCTATCCATTACCCCTCAATTAGCTCTTCATAACATCCTTATTTCCCCCTACACAATTACCACTCGTATTTCCTTATTCATTTATCTGTACTTATTTCCCCTAGTTAATTATAACTCTTATTTTACTCATTCCATATTTTCTATTTGTCAGTATTTACTTATTTCTTATTTACATAGTTCTTCCTTATTTACATAGTGGCTTAAGTCAATGGTCTTCATCTTCCATTAACGTTCAGTAAATACAATGTACCTGAAACTAATTAAGATATACTTTAATAATGACTCACCTGTCCTGGTCATCCTCGGCTACATCAATACATAGGAATATACATGAAAATACATGAGTATACATATATACTGTAATATACATCAATAAACATGAACACACAACGAAAATACATAAATATACATAAAAATACAAACGAAACCAAAACAGAAGATGTACTACATAATAATAATCAATAAAACACAGACAAAAACACACAATTAATACAAATTAAAACACGGTGTACTTATTTGTATGTCTCATCGCTCACCAAAATGCATAACGTCTTTTAGTGTTTTTATATCAAATTATTAAAATTATTATTAATTACATTTTAAAGCCAAAAAATCACAAACATAAAAAGCATAAAATAAATAAATAAATAAATAAATAAATAAAAAGTGAATTTCATGCATGGTGTTTTTATCAACTGTATCAAGTGACCAACCCACAATTGACTTACCTTAACTTCATTAACCACCTGTGATTATAAAGTACATTTGGTGCTGTTTATTATTTACTAACACACACACAAAAAAAACACCCACAAAACAAGGTACAAAAACGAAAAATAAAAAAATAAAAACATTAATCCATCCCAATTGTGCTTCGTGGTTTTGTGTGTTGAGATGCAAACAAACAAACAAAAATAAAAACAAACATAAAAACACCATCCCATTTGTGCATAAAATTAAGTGTGTTGTGATACATACAAACAAACAGAAAACAAACAACAAAACACCATCCCACCTGTGCTTGAAAGTCTAGTTAGGCGTGACAGAGACAAAACAAACACATACACACCAAAAAAAAAACACAACCATCCACCCGTGTGCTTTAAGTATCTACGCGGTGTGCAGGACAAATAAAACACAAACAGGAAATTTTCAAACAATAAAACAGTCGAAAAAAACAAAAAAACCCATTAAAGTTATCTACGGAACTAAAGAGAGAGAGAGAGAGAGAGAGAGAGATTAAACATAATTAAAATCAAACATAAAAACACTCCCCTAAAAAACACACAACACACACACACACATCAAAACATAAGAATTACAATCCAGCATTAAAACACCAGGAAAACAAACACACAAGAGAAACATGAAAGTAAAAGCAACAGGAAATAAAACAAACTAAGATAGATTAGAAGAAAAAAAACAGCAAAGAGAAAAGAATAAAACAGAACCACATTTAAAAAAGAGGTTACAATAAAACACCGAAAAACACAACAGGGGATATTGAAGTTTTTAAAAAGAAAAAATTAAAAAAAAAAACACCAGAAAATAAAACAAAAGAGGATTAAACTCACAATAAATACAAAGAAAAAACAGAGAAACACACACACACAACCGAGATACAGACAGAGAAGCAATAAAGTATTTAAATCTTAGAAAAAACAATAAAACACACACACACAAGAAAAAACAAACAAATTAGTCATCCCTCAAAAAAACTTGCAACTCAACGGAATTAAAACAGAATTAAAAATAAAACCAAAAAGACGAGAAAAAACGATTAAAATAAAAAAACGAGGAAAAACAGAGAAGATAAAGTAAAGAAGCAGAAAAAACACAATAATGGGAACAAGGTCTAAAGTGTAACAACATTAAAACAAACAAAACACAAACACACGAGAAACATTAGGTAATGAAAAACATACAGAATAAAACACAAACATCAATGATTTAAAGAAAAAGATAAAAAAAACAAGAAATTTACACAAACTACAAAAATTAAACAAGAAAAAAATCACCCATAAAACACATCATAAAACAAACATCAGAATAATAAAAAAGACGAAAAAAAACACAATCAATCAAGTTAGTTTAGGACCAGAAGGACATTAGTGGCAGACAAACACATGACGTGAAACAAACAAAATAAAAGCAAAAATAAAACACCACGATAATAAAACACTAAGGCTAAAGAGCGTTAAGTAAGGACATTGAAAAAACACAGTAAGTGAAAGCCAGATAGGATAAAAACACCAGACAAACACGGAAAACAAAATAAAACAAGAAAAAACTCAAAACGGAAAGTAAAGATAACATTTAAATCATAAAACAAGAAAAAACACAAAAATAAAAAAATAAAAAAAAAACAGAAAAATATCGAAAAAACACCAGGAAAAAAACACCCAAACATACATAACAAAAGCAGGCTACATTAAGATATTAAATCAAGAGCCAGAAACAATAATAAAACACCAAACACATTAAAGAAGAAAAAACAAAGCTCCCACAAAAACACCAGAAAAAAACACCACACTAAAGCGAACTACACAAGGGCATTGGGTAATAAGAGTTGAAAGCAGACAGGACTTACTTGAGTTGCCTCCGCTGACTGTGTGTGAGTGACAGGCGGTACAGGAGGGGGGGAGAGGAAGGACCTGGTTAGTTAGCTTAAGAAACGGTGGCTCATTTTTGGTTAGCTTAGTGGGGTGATGGTGGTAGTGGAGGGGGGAGCTATTCTGACGACGCTAGTAGTAAGGGGAGGGGTGATCCTCCTAGCTAGGGGGTGGTAGTGGAGGGGGGAGCTATTCTGACGACGCTAGTAGTAAGGGGAGGGGTGATCCTCCTAGCTAGGGGGTGGTAGTGGAGGGTCACTATCCCGACGATGCTAAGAAAAGGGATGTGATATTTCCTAGGGGGTGATGATGGAGGATCGAAGTTGTAAGGGGGATCCCACTATCTAGGTAATAATGGCACTAGCGTCTAACTGGGGCTAACGGGGTGATCTAGTTAAGGAGAGGTCAATTTACTTTCCTTCCTAGGCATGGCACCAATTCTTAGCAAGGGAAAGCACCACCACTCCATCATAGCTAGGGAAAGTACCAAGACTCCTAGCGAGGGAAAGTACCACTACTCTTAGCTAGAGAAACCACAAACCATTCTTAGCTAAATACCACCACTCCTAGCTTGGAAGTACCGCCACTACTAGCTAAATACCACCAATCCTAGCTCTGGAAAGTACCACCACTCCTAGCTTGGAAGTACCGCCACTACTAGCTAAGTACCACCAATCCTAGCTAGGGAAAGAGTACCACCACTCCTACAGTAGATAAGTACCACCACTCTGAGCTAGGGAAAGTGATATCACCCCGAGCTAGGGAAAGTACCACCCTCCGAGCGAAAGGAAGTACCACTACTCCTAGCTTGGAAAAATACCACCACTCCTAAGTAAGGAAAGTGTCACCACTCCTAGCTAAGTACCACCACTGCTACCTAGGGAAAGTACCACCACTCCTAGCTAGGAAGTACCGCCACTACTAGCTAAGACCACCAATCCTAGCTAGGGAAAGTACCACCACACCTAGCTAAGTATCACCACACCTAGCTATGGAAAGTACCACCACTCCTAGCTATGGAAAGTACCACCACTCCTAGCTATGGAAAGTACCACCACTCCTAGCTATGGAAAGTACCACCACTCCTAGCTATGGAAAGTACCACCACTCCTAGCTATAGAAAGTACCACCACTCCTAGCTATAGAAAGTACCACCACTCCTAGCTATGGAAAGTACCACCACTCCTAGCTATATAAAAACCACCCCACCCCAGCTATGGAAAGTACCACCACCCAGCTATGGAAAGCACCACCCAGCCATGGAAAGTACCACCACCTGGAAAGTACCACCACCCTAGCTATGGAAAGTACCACCACCCCTAGCTGCTATGGAAAGCAACCACCACTCCTAGCTATGGAAAGTACCACCACCCTAGCTATGGAAAGTACCACCACCCTAGCTATGGAGTACCCACCACCCTAGCTGCTATGGAAAGTACCACCACCCTGGCTATAGAAAGTACCACCCACTTTGAGCTGGAAAGTACCACCACCCAGCTATAGAAAGTACCACCACCCTAGCTATAGAAAGTACCACCCCCTAGCTATGCAGTAGTACCACACTCCTAGCTATGGAAAGTACCACCACCCCTAGCTATGGAAAGCACCACCACCTGGGAAAGTACCACCACCCTAGCTATGGAAGGTACCACTCCCAGCTATGGAAAGCCACCACTGGAAAGCACCACCACCCTAGCTATGGAAAGCACCACCACTCCTAGCTATGGAGTACCACCACCCTAGCTATGGAAAAGCACCACCACCCTAGCTATGGAAAGTACCACCACTCCTAGCTATGGAAAGTACCACCACCCTAGCTATGGAAAGCACCACCACCCTAGCTATGGAAAGTACCACCACCCTAGCTATGGAAAGTACCACCACTCCTAGCTATGCTATATGGAAAGTACCACCACTCCTAGCTATGGAAAGTACCACCACTCCTAGCTATAGAAAGTACCACCACTCCTAGCTATGGAAAGTACCACCACTCCTAGCTATGGAAAGTACCACCACTCCTAGCTATGGACAGTACCACCACTCCTAGCTTCATACATTAGATATAAATTAACACACACATGTTAAAAGTCCAACACATTGGTTAATGATTTACTATATACAGTACCAAGAAATACATATAAAATGCATATGCATACACATTTATTATACATACATTAAGATACGCCTCACCCATGTATAAATTATACATGTGTTCAAAGCCAAAACCACACACTTAGGGATTCGAACAAACGTCATGGAAGAGGATCACGTGAAATCCCAAGTCGTGTGTTCGAATCCCTTAGTCGTGGCGGGTGACTTGTACCACTGTGTTATCATCATCCGTATTTAGAAATTTTATAAGGTCATGTTAAAGAGAATCTCATTTATTTAATTTTAATTTGGCCTTATTCTAGATTATTTTATTTTTATATTTTTTTATTATTTTGATAGTTTAGGTGAGAAACTTAGGTGATAGTGAACAAGATAGTGAGATAATGAAGAACGGACCGAGTTGACACAGGACATATTGTACACTGAGGTATTGTGTAGGGATGGTGAGAGAGAGAGAGAGAGAGAGAGAGAGAGAGTTGTGTTTGTTTATATGTGTGTGTTAATGTTACACACACACACACACACACACACACACACACACACATATATAACATTGCGTATTAGATCCATTTATTATACGCCCCCCCCCCTCCTAGATCTAACTTCCCCCTCCACACCAATCAGACAGAAGGAGGGGAGGTGGGAGGAGGGGGAAGGAGGTGGGGTGGAAGGAAGGGGGTGGAAGGAGGGGGGTGGGAGGAGGGGATAGAGGGGGGACAGTGGAGCCAAAGAGGACCCCTGGAGTTAACTGTAGCCAGGGTGATTACCGCACCCCAGAAGCTAATGGACGCTCATTTGGGGTCATTCTGAGGTCATATGGGGGGTTATGAGTCACTAAAAAGGTCACAAGGTGTTTAGGTGAGGTTAGGTTAGGTTAGGTTATAATGTCACACAGTCATAAGTAGCCAAACAGTCACAGGTATACACAGTGATATACAGTCACAGGTATACACAGTGATATACAGTCACAGTCATACACAGTGATATACAGTCACAGGTATACACAGTGATATACAGTCACAGGTATACAGAGTGATATACAGTCACAGGTATACACAGTGATATACAGTCACAGGTATACAGAGTGATATACAGTCACAGGTATACAGAGTGATATACAGTCACAGGTATACAGAGTGATATACAGTCACAGGTATACAGAAAGGTGCGAGTTTATTGCAACTATACTACTGAAATATTCAACACACATGGAATAAAAGAGAGAGAGAGAGAGAGAGAGAGAGAGAGAGAGAGAGAGAGAGAGAGAGAGAGAGAGAGAGAGAGAGAGACAGAGACAGAGACAGAGACAGAGACAGAGACAGAGAGAGAGAGAGAGAGAGAGAGAGAGACAGAGACAGAGACAGAGAGAGAGAGAGAGAGAGAGAGAGAGAGAGAGAGAGAGAGAGAGAGAGAGAGAGAGAGAGAGAGAGAGAGAGAGAGAGAGAGAGACCCCAGTTCAACACCTGTACACACGTCAACACCCTCCACAACCCTCCAACCTCACCATGGCCCTCCAGAACTTTCAACTTCAACTCCTCCATCCACCTCGTAGCCCGTACATGACCTCTGCGTCCCTCGAAAGCCTCCAAGGCCCTCCTCAATCCTCCAAGGCCCCTCCACCCTCCCCACAGCATCCAGCCACTCCATCCACCTCCCAGACCCTCCACAAGGCCCACCATAGCCTTCAACTCCTCCACAGTCTCCAACTCCTCCATCCAATTCCCAGGCCCTCCTCAACCATCCATTCCTTCCACAGCCTCCAACCCCCTCCAAAACCCCACCAACCCTCTCCAAAACGCCCCCAACCCTCTCCAAAACGCCTCCAACCCCCTCCAAAACCTCCTCCCCAAAACCCTCCACCCCCTCCAAAACGCCTCCAACCCCCTCCAAAACCCCTCCAACCCCTTCCACAGCCTCCAACCCCCCACCCAGCCGTCCACGCCCGCACGAGAGCAGACACTATTAACACTGTAGGGCGGAAAAACTAAAAGAGGGGAGAACGACAAAGGGGAAATACACAAGAGAAGCAGAAGGTAAACAAGAGGGGAGGCAGGGAGTTGGATTACCCATAGGAGAGATTTAATACAAGGTGGAGGGACAGGTCGAGTAGTATGATGGTGGAGGGAGGGGGAGAAGGTGGAGGGAGGGAAGGATGGATGGAGGGAGGGAGGAGGGGACACACACACACACACACACACACCACCCAAAACAAACACAACCAGAAAACCTGTGAATAGACAAGCAGGGGAAGAGGAGGGGGGAGGAGGAGGGGGGAAGAGGAGGGGGAGGAGGAGGGGGGAGAGGAGGGGGGAGGAGGGGGGAGGAGAGGAAGTCATGTTCTATCTGATTCTCCTTTCTTTCACTCACATCAGCTGGAGAGAGAGAGAGAGAGAGAGAGAGAGAGAGAGAGAGAGAGAGAGAGAGAGAGAGAGAGAGAGAGAGAGAGAGAGAGAGAGAGAGAGAGAGAGAGAGAGAGAGAGAGAGAGAGAGAGAGAGAGAGAGAGAGAGAGAGAGAGAGAGAGAGAGAGAGAGAGAGAGAAGGTAAGCGGTTTAGAGACAGGTTAATTATAAATACACATATCCACGTTACAATAGACTAAGTCGAAGCAGTGAGCAGTGAGCAGCAGATATACTGTCGTGGGTGCAGAACAAAGCAGTCATTGTATATTTAGGCCCCGTGTAAGCAAGTGGTTCTCTGGTCCAAGTTTACCTGCTAATTAGCTTGTGAGTCACCTAGGCCTACAGGTAGTCAGGCAGGTATACTTTAGGTTGAGGGCAGGTATATGCTAGTGATGGTGTGTGTGTGGGGGGGGGGGTGAGTTAATACACCCACATCAAGTTACAACTCCCACTACACCACCCACAACAAGTTACGCCACCCACAACAAGCTACGCCGCCCGGTGTGTAGGTTAAATGTCACCTCTACTTCACCTTTGTTAACTCTATTATTACTTACTGCCATTCGTCATCATCATCATCTCTCTCTCTCTCTCTCTCTCTCTCTCTCTCTCTCTCTCTCTCTCACGGAAGTTCCTGCCCATCTCTACCACTACCACCACCTCCATCACCACCTTCTCCACCCCTACCTCCTCCAACACCATTACCTCCACAACCTCTCTCTCCCCCACCACCTCCTTCACCCCTACCTCCTCCTCCACCACCAGCATCACCACCATTACCACCACCTAGTTATCCTGTTTTAAAGCGTTATGTTAATACCTTGATAATGATGTTAATTTTACTATGACCATTTTAACATTATGGTTCTTCTCTTAGTATTTCATTGTGATTATTTTAACCCGAAGTATGATAATTTTGTTAATATTTGAGTAAGTTTGTTATTTTGACTACAACGCTTATCTCTTGTTGTCGGATTACCTGAAGCTTAGACACCCGGCTTAATTCAGCTTTAGATTAACTCACCCTAACGCTAACCTAATCATAGCATATCTAATCTAACCTATCCATATCTAACCTAACCTAACCTAACCTAACCTAACCTAACCTAACCTAACCTATCGTTTCCAAGAATGTTTGACCAGACCTTTATCTTCTAGAATTTAAGAGGTCATGTGTTTATTGAGGTCAGGTCACGTTAGGTCAGGTTAGTTAGTTATGTTCAGTTCAAGTTAAGTTGAGTGAGAGTAGGTTAGGTTAGGTTAGGTTAGGTTAGGTTAGGTTAGGTTAGTTTAGTTCCATTAAGATAGAAGGAGGGAAGAGGTGAAGGAGGGTGAAGGAGGGGGAAGAGGTGAAGGAGGGTGAAGGAGGGGGAAGAAATGAAGGAGGGAGGAAGAGGTAAAGAAGAAGGGAGAGAGGTGAAAAGGGGAAGGAAAAGAGGCGGACGGAAGAGATTAAGGGATGACAGCAGGTAGGTAAGGGGAAGAAAAGAGGAGGGAAAGGGGAAGTGAAAAGACAAGAAGAAAAAGAACAGAAAACGAAACAAAAAAACAAGAAAAGAAAAGAAAACGGAGAACAACACGAGAAAGAGGTGAGAGGGGGGACTGAGGTAGCTGAAGGAACACAACACGCGTCTGCCCACCCGAGTTTCCATTATTTCCACGTGTAATAAAAGTCAGGCCAGAGGATACGGAGAGTAGTAAGCGCTTCCTTAAGTGGTTTTTACTTTTAAACCCGTGTCGTGGCT